GGTTGTATACCAAATATGAGAAATGTGAGTTTTGGCTACAAGAGGTGAAGTTTTTGGGACATGTTGTTTCAGAAGGCGGAGTATCAGTTGATCCATCAAAGATTGAAGCTGTTTTGAATTGGGAGCAACCCAAGAATGTGTTTGAGATCCGTAGTTTTCTTAGTCTAGCGGGTTACTACCGGAGATTTGTGAAAGATTTCTCCCGTTTAGCAGCGTCTATGACCCGTTTAACCCAGAAAGGGATTAAGTTTGCATGGAATGAAGCCTGTGAGTCATCTTTCCAGGAATTGAAGACAAGATTGACTACGGCTCCAGTATTGGTGATACCTGAGCGTGGCTTGGGTTATGTGATCTATTGTGATGCTTCACGTGATGGTTTAGGGTGTATGTTGATGCAGGATGGTAGAGTAGTGGCTTATGGGTCTCGACAGTTGAAGACTCACGAGCACAACTACCCTACTCATGATTTGGAGTTGGTGGCAGTTGTGTTTGCTTTGAAGTGTTGGAGACACTACTTGTATGGTGAGAGATTCGAGGTGTACTTGGATCATAAAAGTCTCAAATACCTTTTCTCCCAAAAGGACTTGAACAATAGACAGAGAAGATGGGTTGAATTCTTGGAAGATTATAATTTTGACTTGCAGTATCATCCGGGTAAGGCAAATGTGGTAGCAGATGCCTTAAGCCGAAAATCTCGTGGAACTTTAGCCTGTCTGGCTATTCGGAAGTGGAAGATGCTTAAGGATTTTGCAGAGATGGGATTGTATTGTTTTGATGACGATGTTGACAGTGAGCCAGCATTCTTGTTTAGTCTTGTGGCTCAGCCTACTCTTGTTGTACGAGTGATTGAGTCACAGAGACAGGACCCTGATTTAGATGCCATTCACGCTTTGATCTCCAGTGGTGAGACAGTGAAAGATTGGGCCTTGTATGCAGATGGGGGTTTACGGTTCAGGGGTTTGTTGGTGGTTCCTACAGTTTGTCGTGAGGACGTCTTACGGGAGTTTCACACTTCCCGCTTTGCAGTTCACCCAGGTGGTACCAAGATGTATCACAATTTGAGACGTCAGTATTGGTGGAATGGGATGAAGAAAGATGTTGCACAGTTTGTGGCTAAATGCCTTACCTGTCAGCAGGTGAAAGCCGAGCATCAGAGACCAGTCGGTTTATTACAACCATTACCTGTAGTGCAATGGAAATGGAAGCATATTGCTATGGATTTTGTGACAGGTCTTCCAAGGTCACGAAGGGGCAATGAGTTCGTATGGGTCATCATTAACAGATTGACCAAGACGGCTCACTTTTTGCCTATTAAGGCAACAGACGATGCAGAGAAGCTTGGTGTTCTTTATGTGAAGGAGATTGTAAGGTTGCATGGAGTTCCAGTAACCATTGTTTCAGATAGGGATGCTAAGTTCACTTCGAAGTTCTGGGAAGGACTTCAAGCAACGTTTGGCTCAGCGTTGCACCTGAGTACGGCATTCCATCCACAGACTGACGGTCAGTCAGAGCGTACTATCCAGATTTTGGAGGATATGCTTCGGGCATGTGTGCTTGACTTGGGTGGTAGTTGGGAGGATCACCTTCCACTTATTGAATTTGCCTACAACAACAGTTATCAGGCGAGCATTCAGATGGCTCCATTTGAGGCGTTGTATAGTAGACCTTGTAGGTCTCCTGTTTGTTGGACTGAGGTAGGCGAGACAGCCGCCTTAGGACCCGACATTGTACTTGAGACTACTGAGAAGATTAAGTTGATAAGACAGAGGTTACTTACAGCTCAGAGCCGACAGAAGAGTTATACGGATAAGCGGAGACGGCCGTTATCCTTTGAGGTGGGAGACCACGTTTTTCTTTGGGTTTCTCTACGGAAGGGTTTGATGAGATTTGGGAAAAGTGGCAAGTTGTCGCCACGATTCATTGGACCGTTTGAGATCTTGGACCGAGTAGGAGAGGTTGCCTACAGACTTGCTTTGCCACCACAGATGGACAGAGTCCACAATGTTTTCCATGTATCGATGTTACGAAAGTACGAGCCAGATCCATCTCACATTTTGAGTTGGGTTGGTGTAGACATTGATGAGGATGTTTCCTACGAGAAAGGACCAGTTCAGATTCTTAACACACAACAAAAGGTGTTGAGGAACAAGACGATACCAATAGTGAAAGTCCTTTGGAGACACCACGGAGTCGATGAGGCTACTTGGGAGCTTGAACAGGAGGTTCGCTCCAAGTATCCAGAGTTATTTTTTTCCCCAGGTATGGCTTGATTTCGGGGACGAAATCTTTTGAAAGTTGGGGAGAATGTAATGTCTGTGTCAATATATATATATATATATATATATATATATATATATCTGTGTGTGTGTGTGTGTGTGTGTGTGCGCGCATATGTGTATATATTTGTGTGTGTGGTGTAATTTAAAACAAAAAGAAAAAGGAAAATGGGTGGGACCCACATGCACTTAAAATGGTCATGAGACCACTTTTTGTTCTATTTTTTTTTATTTTTCCCGTAAGCTTCTCTCTCGTTCCAAAAGCTCTCTGTTTTTTTTTTTTTCTTTTTTTGGTTTCAATCTTCAAGGCTTTATTGCTCCCTCATCTCTTAGTATTTTTAAGTGCCGTTTGAGGCAAAACGAAGCCCACGACAAGCTCTACGCATCCATACCATCAATTTCAGTTTTTGTACACCCTTTGGATTTCGAAATTCAAGACCTACTTTTAAGGGTTTTGTGCAAATTTGAGGTAGGGGCTCTTAATCCACAAGTTTCTTGCTCCTATGTGAATTACATCTTCTAATTTGATCCTAGACATGTTTACTTATGCTAGTTGTAGTTTAAAGAAATTATAGCATGTGTATGTAGTTATGTGAGAACTTATTTTAAATGTTTTATGTAAAAATTCTTGCTTATGTGATGATTTATATATGTTCGTTGTGCTAGATGCATTGTTGTACAAGAGCATGTTATAATCCTTTGAGAAATTCTTGCGAAATTATGTCTTGCTTACTTAAGTAGAGTGAATGTGAAATGATGATTAAATTCATGGTATTGATGCACTCATGCACTTACATTGGGCATGAAACGGGGAAGAATGAGTTTGAAATGAAAATATGAGATTTGGGGAAAAATGATTTGATGAAACGGTTTTGAAAAAAACCCGGTCGCCGCGAGGGTACCAAAGGGCCGGAGTGTTAATATAGCCTAGAGGGGACTAGAGAGTCGCCCTAGCGTGGTTGAGCTAGCTGGGCCCCATAATGACGCTGCGGGGGTACCAAGGGTCAGGGACACTAGCCAATCCTCCTCTCGTGTCGCTGCGGGGTCACCAAAGGGCGGCTTATATTAACAGTTGGAAAGTGATGTTTGAGAACAGTAAATGGGGAGTGACATTGGCATGCATTTGCATTTCATGGCATCGTGTGGGTTGTACTTGAGTTTAGTTGGAATGTTGTATTATTTTCTGACATTGTATGATCCTCATTTCCTATTGGCCTATTCTTTGTATGGATTCACAGGGACACAAGAAAAGTGTTTTAAGCGTCACTAACTGAGCATATTTGTTCACCCTACTATTTATATTATTTTTTTCAGGTCTTGGAAATGAACCGGTGGACGACAATCCACCTCAAGCTTGAAAGTTGTTAGAAGGTTGTTTGCTATTTTGTATTTTGACCGGTTTATGTATATTCATAGTTGTGGGTATGTAACTAAGTTAGTATTCATGGCCTTGTAACTTAAGAACAAACTTATCTTTTGTTTGATGTAAATGAAACTAATGGAATTATGGTATATGTTTCCATGTAATTGTATCATGTAACGTTGTAAGACAGGGACTTTAAATATTAATCTTGTATTTTAAGACTGTAATTATGATAATTTAGATTAATTGGTGTGTGGATGTTCCACCATGAGAGGAACTATGTTGAGGTATAATGAACGGATGAATGGGATGCTGGATGATTTTATGTGTTTTGTGTATTGGGACAGGTTGTTGAAGGCTTTTAGGGGAGGTTATGCCGAATTTTTTTAAAATTTTGGCATCAGCTAGGGTCGTTACATAAACTGACCGCGCCGAAATAAGATTTTCAATGGTACCAATTAGAGTTTCAGATTTCATTTGTAACTCAAATTATTCAAGTTTTAGTGAGGTAGTGTTAGGATTTGGTTTGAACCAGAAAGGGATTTTTTTTCCTTAACTTCAAGACTTGATATCTTTTCCGTCCGGACTCCGAATCAGGTGATTCTTGAGTCCATTTTAATTTATTTTTTGTTGTCTTTCCAATGGTATAAATTTAAGTTGTAGATTCTTCTCATAGCTTGAGATATCCTTGTTTTTGTGAGAGGGTGCTAGTTTTTGTTCGAATCGTGATGGTGTTCATTTGGGATTTCACTTCCTTTGGCCTTGGTACTTCATATGAAGTTACCAAATAATGTTTTTGGATGTTTTTTATCTCATTTGACTTGTTGGAAGTTAAATTCCTTCCACTTAGGGTAAAATAACCATTTTACCCATGGTCCTTCTTTTGGTAGGGTTTTGATACCCTTGTCTTCATTTTGCTTCCGCTGAGTCTTGATTTTCCTCGAAGGGCCATTCTTGTGTCTTAGGAATGACGTACATCTCCAAGAACTTGTTTTTGTTTTGCTTCCGCATTTTGGATCCGTTTCGGGTCATCACAGGACACACTAGGTTGAAAAATCCTAGGTCATCACAAAAATACTCTTGGAAAAAATCAAAAAATTCCAGAAAATGAAAAACGATGAAAATCGGAAACATTACAAGGCAAGCCTAAAAAACCCCTCATTCAGTCATTCTTTAGGTCATCCCCAGTCCAAAGAAAGGATCTCAACTACTTGTTTAGCTCAGTGATGACTCCATTAGGCAAGACAAAGATACTAGACCAGTAAATTTGAATTTAGACCAGCAGTGATTTAATCAGTTGCAGTTTGCCATCATAGGATAAGGATCTTGAGGATCAATGTCTGATTCGGGAAGTGATCATATCGATTAAGAATTTTCAGTCAATGGCCTTTAGATTGGATGAGATGACAGAACCAATAATGCTATATTACTGAATTTCAAGGGCAATTATCTACATATCTGCCATATTTCTAATGAGGAAATTTTTACTTTTAAGTATATACACTAAGAAACAAGAATGATGACACTGTTCAGTCTAAGAAAACATAAAAAAACTAAATCTGAAGTTTAATTTCTCTAATGAACTAAAGACTACAAAAAATGAAACCTTATCGTGCTACTGTATGGGTAATTGTTGCATCATCAACCGAACCAGATTCTTTCCGCAATGTAGATTCATTTTCCCTATCTTGATCTCTTCCTATAGAAAAAGCAGGCCTTTTTGGAGTGTTCATAACCATCACCTCATTTTTTAGCATGGTTGAAACTTCCAACATGGATGGTCTATCTGCCGGTTGTTCCTGGACACATAACAGAGCTATTACCATGCATCTCATCAATTTACATGATGATGATGTATCATCCAGTGAGGGATCCATAAACTCCATGCCATTATCTTCTTTCCACAGCTCATAGGCCTGAAACAATTAATACAATGTTATGAATTTTTATGGTTTAAGAGGGATAAAAATTATAGTTTAATAACCAAAGCCAAAAGGTTTCAGAGTAACTTACATATTCTAAAAGGTTAAGATTTTCATTTGGACCATACCAACAATTATTCTTCTTGCCACTTATGATATGTAAAAGTACAACTCCAAAGCTAAAAACATCAGATTTTGTGGAGTATATTCCGTGTTTTACATATTCAGGAGGAATATAACCACTGCAATTCGTAACCAACAAAAACAATAAGAATTTAACAGTAGAACATGTGTTTGAGAAGGTTAATTTCAAAGTGACATTTTACTCACTATGTTCCAACGATTCGGCTTGTGTTTGCTTCAAATTCTTCTTTTTTGAAAATTCTAGCCATACCGAAATCTGATATCTTAGGCTTCATCTCACTGTCCAATAAAATGTTGCTACCTTTCAGGTCTCTATGAATTACTGTGAGTCTTGAGTATTCTTGGAGATATAGCAGCCCCTGAGTAATTCCTTCAATGATGTGAACTCGTTTTTCCCAATCTAAGAGTAATCTTCTAATTGGATCTGCATCAAATTAAATTTATGGGTGATGATTAACGACACAAAAAATAGAGAAACACACACACCAACTTAAATTGCAACCCCCATGTGGAATTGCTCTATTTGTTCAAAAAAAATTATTTGAAGCATTAAATATTGCTTACCATAGATGTAGTAATCCAAGCTTTTATTGGGCATGTATTCATAGACCAGTATCTGTTCTTCTTTCTCAGTGCAGAATCCCAAAACTCTTACCAGATTTACATGTTGTAGTTTTACCGTTAGCATAACCTCATTTTTGAATTCTTCAATTCCTTGTGTAGAAGCCTTTGAAAGCCTTTTCACCGCTATTTCTTGTCCCTTCTGTAATGTACCCTGCCAAAACAAACATGCACACATTTTTGTAATTTTCACTAGTATAAGCCAGATTTAGCTCTGTTACTATGTCTAATGTTGATATGACAACTCTAAACTTAACAGAGCATCTACACAATGATCATTTGTTCCATTATGAGATCACTATTCTTTTCCAACACAATATATCAACTACACCTTTTAATTCAATTCTGCCTATTCCTCAAACTACACATTGTGAACTTTTTGTTAGAAATTAAACTTTATTTTATTTAGTGTTTTATATTTATGTGAGTTTTTTATTGGAGTTAGTGGGGGGCATGAGAGTTACAACTAGTAAATGGTCGTGTTAGTGGGTTAGTGGGAGTTTTGCCTACTAAATGGTCATGTTAGTGGGTTAGTGGGAGTTTTGCCTACTAAATGATATGTTAGTGGGGTTTTAAGTTTCATTTACATTTATGTTTTGAAGCCTATATAAACCCATGCATTGTACTCATTTTCTATCAAGTGAAGTAAAAAGTATTTTCCTCCATTTCTATTCTCTTCCAAATAGTATAGTGTTGTGTGTGTAACTAGGCCACTATTTCCAACAAAGTGGTATCAGAGATAGTTTGTGAGAGAGAGAAGAAATGGCAAACAATTCGGTTCCATTTCAAATGCCTCGATTCACCAAAGATAACCATGAAAATTGGTGTATCCGTATGAAGGCAATTTTGGGAGCACAAGATGTGTGGGAAGTTGTTTCCAAAGGTTATGATGAGCCAGAAGATGAGGCAACTTTGTCTCAAGCCGAAAAAGATGTTTTACAAGCCATGAGAAAGAAGGACCAAAAGGCGGTGATGACCATCCATCAATGTTTGGATGATGGAATGCTACAAAGAGTTGCTAGTGCAGAAAATGCAAAGCAACTATGGGAGATTCTTCAAAATTCCTTCCAAGGAGTTGATAAAGTGAAGAAGGTTCGCCTCCAAACGTTACGGGGTGAATTTGAAGCATTGCATATGAAGGAATCTGAATTAATTTCAGATTATTTTTCGAGGGTCCTGGCTATTGTAAATCAACTAAGGAGATATGGCGAAACCACCATGACTGATACAAGGGTCGTTGAAAAGATCATTCGGTCGTTGGATTCCAAATTCAACTACATTGTTGTAGCCATTGAAGAGTCAAAGGATTTGGATTCCATGACTGTTGATCAACTCATGGGTTCATTGCAAGCTCATGAAGAAAAGGTGGTGAAGAAACAAGAAGCATTGGAGCAAGTGCTACAAACAAAGTTTTCGTTGAACGAAAGAGACGAAAAACATGGAGGAAATCAAAGGGGCCGAGGACGTGGAAATGCACGTGACCGAGGAAGAGGAAGAGGCCATGGAAGAGGAGAAAGAAGCGGTCAACACACAACCAACAATGAAGAAAAAATCCATGACTCACAACAAATAAGAGGTCGTGGTAGAGGAAATTACTCAAGGTCATATGGAAGGAGGTATGATAAGTCTCAAATTCAATGTTATAATTGTCAAAAGTATGGTCATTATGCTTCGGAATGTAGAAATGTCGCTAACGATGTTGAAGAAAAGGCGAATTATGTTGATGAAGAAGTGGAGCCTACTTTGTTGTTAGCATACAAATGTGAAAGGAGTGATCAAGAAGATGTGTGGTATCTTGACACCGGTGCTAGCAACCATATGTGTGGTAGCAAAGAAAAGTTCGTTGATATTGATGAATCAATAAATGGCAAGGTAACATTTGGAGACTTATCACAAATTCTGGTAAAAGGGAAAGGTAAAATATTGATTTGTTTGAGGAATGGGCATCATCAATTTATCTCTAATGTTTATTATGTGCCTAATATGAAGAACAATATTTTGAGTTTGGGACAACTCTTAGAAAAAGGCTACAATATTTCCATGAAGGATTGTAGTCTTTCGATAAGAGACCCATTGGGTAATTTGATTGCCAAGGTTCCAATGACAAAGAACCGGATGTTTTTGCTAAATATTCAAGCCGACGAGGCTAAATGTTTGAAGGCTTGTGTTAATGATTTAACTTGGCTTTGGCACTTGAGACTTGGGCACTTGAATTTTGGAGGATTAGAGTTGTTAGCCAAAAAGAAGATGGTGAAGGGATTGCCTTTCATTAGCAATCCAAATCAATTATGTGAAGGATGTCTCGTTGGAAAGCAATCAAGGAAAAGTTTTCCTAAAGAAGCTACCACAAGAGCTACGGCGCCACTACAACTTATCCATTCGGATGTTTGTGGTCCAATTTCTCCATCATCATTTGGTAAGAATAATTATTTTTTATTATTCATTGATGATTTTAGCCGAAAAACATGGGTGTATTTTCTTAAACAAAAATCGGAGGTGTGTGAAATGTTTAAAAAATTTAGAGCACTTGTTGAAAAACAAAGTGGCTATGATGTAAAGGCTCTTCGATCCGATAGAGGTGGTGAATTCACATCAAATAATTTCAAAAAATTTTGTGAAGAAAATGGAATTCACCATCCTTTAACGGTTCCGAGATCGCCCCAACAAAATGGAGATGCAGAAAGGAAGAACAGAACCATTCTCAATATGGCTCGAAGCATGTTGAAAAGTAAGGAAATGCCTAAAGAATTTTGGGCTGAAGCGGTTGATTGTGCGGTGTACTTGTCCAATCGGTGTCCTACTAGAAGTGTGCAAAACAAAACACCACAAGAAACATGGAGCGGAAGAAAGCCAAGTGTCTCTCATTTGCGGGTTTTTGGGAGCATTGCCCATGTGCACGTGCCGGATGAAAGGAGGACCAAGTTAGACAACAAAAGTGAAAAAATGGTGTTCATTGGCTATGATGCAAATTCTAAAGGCTACAAGTTGTACAATCCAAGCAATGGGAAGATTGTCATTAGTAGAGATGTTGAATTCGAAGAGGGAGCCACTTGGGATTGGAACACTCCAAATGAAGATTATAATATTTTTTCAATTTCTGATGAGGAGCAAGAAAATGAAGGCATGGAGCAGCCCATTTCTCCACCAACATCACCTCCACCGCCATCAATTCAAGATCAATCAACTCCATCATCATCAAGTTCAAGTGACACACCACCATTTCGCATGAGGAGTCTTCGTGACATATATGACGAAACAGATGAGGTAACGGAAAGGTTAGGTGATCTAACACTTTTTTGTCTCTTTGCGGATTATGAACCCGTAGGATTTGAAGAGGCGGCACAAGACAAAAAATGGAGAAATGCTATGGATGAAGAAATTAAATCCATAGAGAAGAATGACACATGGGAGCTTGCTACACTTCCAAAAGAGCAAAAGGCAATTGGTGTCAAGTGGGTGTAAAAAGCAAAGAATAATGCAAATGATGAAGTTGAAAAATATAAAGCAAGATTGGTCGCCAAGGAGTACAACCAAAAGCCCGGAATTAACTATGATGAGGTATTTGCACCCGTAGCTCGTCTGGAAACAATTAGATTGTTAATTTCTTTGGCAGCCCAGAACAATTGGAGAATCCACCAAATGGATGTGAAATCGGCTTTCTTGAATGGGTTTCTTGAAGAAGAGGTGTATGTTCAACAACCTATGGGCTATGTTGTAAAGGGGCAAGAAAACAGAGTCTTGAAATTGAAGAAGGCTTTATATGGCTTGAAGCAAGCACCAAGAGCGTGGAATAAGCGAATTGACAAATATTTTCAAGACAATAATTTTTCAAAGTGCCCATATGAACATGCTCTTTACTCCAAAGTAAGTGAGAATGGAGATGTATTTTTTGTTTGCTTGTATGTGGATGATTTAATCTTCACAGGTAGCAATCCAAAATTTTTTGAAGATTTCAAGAAGGTTATGGCTCGAGAGTTCGAGATGACAGATATTGGCATCATGGCTTATTATCTTGGCATTGAGGTCAAGCAAATGAAGGATGGAATTTTCATTCACCAAGAAGGCTATGCTAAGAAAATTCTTCAAGATGGAAGATTGTAAATTGGTGAACACGCCCATGGAAGTTGGAATTAAATTGTCAAGAGATGAAGATGGAGAGACGGTGGATCCAACATTTTTTAAAAGTCTTGTTGGAAGCTTGAGATACTTAACATGCACAAGGCCGGACATATTATTTGCGGATGGGCTTGTTAGTCGGTTTATGGAAAGACCCACCATAACTCATTTCAAGGCGGCTAAGAGGATTCTTCGTTACATCAAAGGTACCCTTGATTTTGGGTTATTCTATTCATTTTCTAATGATTTCAAGCTTGTGGGTTATTGTGATAGCGATTGGGCCGGATATTTGGATGATAGAAAAAGTACTTCGGGCTATTGTTTTTTCATGGGAAATACTGCTTTTACATGGTGTTCAAAGAAGCAACCCATTGTCACCCTCTCAACTTGTGAAGCAGAATATGTTGCAGCCACTTCATGTGTTTGTCAAGTAATTTGGTTGAGGAATTTGTTGAAGGAATTACACATACTAGAAGAAGAGTCAACGGAGATTTTTGTGGACAACAAATCAGCAATTGCTTTGGCCAAGAATCCGGTGTTTCATGAACGAAGCAAACATATTGATACAAGATTTCATTTCATTAGAGAATGTATAACTAAGAAGGAGGTGGAACTCAAGTTCATCAAGTCACAAGATCAAGTAGCGGATATTTTCACCAAGCCCCTCAAGTTTGCAGATTTTCACAAGTTTAGGAGTTTGCTTGGAGTTGAAAAAAAATCAAGTTTAAGAGGGGGTGTTAGAAATTAAACTTTATTTTATTTGGTGTTTTATATTTATGTGAGTTTTTTATTGGAGTTAGTGGGGGGCATGAGAGTTACAACTAGTAAATGGTCATGTTAGTGGGTTAGTGGGAGTTTTGCCTACTAAATGGTCATGTTAGTGGGTTAGTGGGAGTTTTGCCTACTAAATGATATGTTAGTGGGGTTTTAAGTTTCATTTACATTTATGTTTTGAAGCCTATATAAACCCATGCATTGTACTCATTTTCTATCAAGTGAAATAAAAAGTATTTTCCTCCATTTCTATTCTCTTCCAAATAGTATAGTGTTGTGTGTGTAACTAGGCCACTATTTCCAACACTTGTACCATTGTAAACGTTGGAAGCTATTGATCTACAAAATGTAGAGTATCTTTCAGGCAATCTACCTAAAAATGAAGATCAAATATTACCTTGTAAACAGGGCCATATCCACCCTCTCCCAGCTTGTTTTCAATTGAAAACTTGTTTGTTGCTGCTTCAATGTCAGCAAATTTAAATACTTGCAAATTAGGAGAATTATTACTTCCAACAGATGCCATACTACTTCCATTATATTTGTCCCCCGTTCCTGGAAGCGAAACAAAAAGAAAAATAAAACACAGAAGGTTCAAAGAGTTGACTGTCAGTCTAAATTTCATGGTTGGCAGAGGTTACCTCTTGATTTAAGCATTCTCTTCCGCAGGTACCAAATCATGGCACCTAGTAGGAGAATAACTGATGCTCCAGTTGTAAGCAAGATTATTAATAAGCGCCACTTGTTTCCATGGTCCTTATCGTCCCCTTGAGCTGTGAAGAAATGTGTTATATAACGATCATTTAGTTTTTGTTTAACCTCTATATCTTTTTGTTTAATCTCTAAAATTAAGCAAGCCAAAGAAATTGGTCAGAGCAATTATAGAAATACAGAAAAGTAATGGAAATCTTTATCCTAATGAAATTCCTTGTTTCCCGGCTGGTGCTATTCTTATTTCAAAATTTCACTTACCAGGTAAAAAAAAAAATAAAAATTCCTTCATATCATAGAAAATATAAAAAACTTTCTTGTGTTCACAACTTCAACAGTACAATTCCCTTTGTTTTATGCTTACATAGAAGCAAGTTAAGCCCCCCCTTTTCATGGAAATAGTTCCAATGAATGTTTCACAGATAGCCAAAGCAGGAAAAGTTTATAGTGGCTTTTGAATTTGCTTCAAGATTCCCTTTATGCCTACGCATTAACATTGTTTCTTGAGAAACATTCAATGCATAAACAGTTTAATTTCATGGAAATAAGCAGAGTTATCAAAAGTTTCTATTGCTTACCAGAAAATTGAAAATAAGTTGTTGACACTGAGACCCATGGACTCTCCATGAGATTTAGACAGGAGTTTTTGTTATTAACCACCAATTCTTATTTAAACAATTAAAGAGGCCATTTTCTTTGTTTGAAAGAAAGTTCAAATTATGAAGAACAGTCCTGCTAATTAATTAATTGACTTGGGTAATTCATTTTATGAACATTTAGCCAGAAAAATCAGTATGAAGGACACTAAATTGACTTGGGCAATTCCCACATCATATATGTTTGAGAATCGCAATATATATATTATTAAATAATATAAAACTTACCAGCTTGAGAGAGCACCCAATTGTCATCATTAGGGACTTGCCACACATGGTAGCCTAGTAAATTTTTCTCTTTCGCATAAGCAACCTTAATTTTGACAACCTCAACATCATCAAAACCGATCCAAGATGATCCTATAATGCAATAATTTACAACATAAGTTGCATTGTACACTGAAACAGCGCCATTTATCTGAATGTAACTCTTGATAGCCTTGTATGTCATCGACCCATCATTGGTTATGGCTGGACCTTTTGCAGGTGCACCAATTGCACTGTCATTCGGGTTCACCAGTGTCCATGCATAGCCATAGAAAGGCAACCCCAAAACCAGCTTGTTGGCTGCTAATCCATTATTAATCCACGCGTTTATGCCATAATCAGTATCTTGATCACTTGCTGGATCATACAAAGCTGCATGTGCCCCTGTATTGTTAGCCCATCCAGGCCCATAGTAATCATATGCTATGACATGTACCCAATCCAAGTTTTTCCCTATAGCCTGAATTGGAAAACTAGTTGAATCAAGATATGGTGAGAACTGAACAGCCATGGTTAGAACAAGTTTCGAGTTGCTGGAGTTTCTTGACTCGGATTCTATGGCGATTCGCCACTCATCAAGAAGTGTCGCTATGTTAGCCATGTCAGAGTCAGTACTCGGTGAAACCCAACAGAAGTCTAGGCCATGAAAGCCATAAAGTCTAGCTGTGTTTATTGAGGACTGAATGAAGGACTTCCTAGAAGAAGATTGGCTGATCATTGAAGAATAGTGTGAATCATTGGCTTGCCCACCACCAATGGATAAAAGGGTTGCAACTGATGGATTCTTTTGCTTGACGATGTCGGTGAATGTGGAGAAGAACTTGTTGTCTGAAAAGGTGATGGAGAGTTGGTATGTGGAAGAGTTGAGGCCTGCATAGGCACATATAAGGTGAGTGAAGAGAACTGAATTTATATCGGCGGCCGGGAATTTGCTGCCGGAGAACCAGTACCCGGCTTTGATCCATGTTTGAGCTCCAGAAGCTGAGTATGGAAGTTGGGGAAGAAGAAAGAGGAGGAAGAAGAGGATGTGAAAAGTCAACGCCATTTAAGAGTGCTTAGCTAGCTGATTTATGTCTCTTAATTTATGACCTTTGTGAAATGAAAAATAGGGAAACAGAGAGGAACATTGGTGTGGGGCCACTAGGGTTGATGGGGCTTGTCCCTTCTCGGCCAGAGAAGCATGTGTTGTGTAAAATTGACATACAACGTAACCCGTAAAAACTTTTCAAGAGAGTTAAAAATCGTGTTTCAACCAAATTATTTGTAGCATCAAAGCTATTACTTCGAGTTTGAAAAGTGACAAGTGATGGTCTTGAAAGTAAAAATAATAGATTTTTAACATACTGAAATCGTGTTACCGTATTAAAAATATATACAACTATAGTAGGGATTCGTTACAAGACATATATGACTTTAATCTTGGCTATTCGTATTGTCAGCAGAATATATATCTTGACTTCAGTCAAATATAACTAAATCTATACTTTTTTGCAATATCATAATCCTATTCACAAAAAAGTTTACTTAATTGAATATTATTTTTGTAATTGTTTAATTATTTCCTGAGTCTTAACATGACTAATTTATTCAATATTATAAGCATATATACTTGTTTTTATATATAATATATATTTGATGTGGTGAGATACTAAATTTGGTCTTGAAGTATACTTATGTTAGAATAATAAAACGACGTTTCTTTCAAACATACATCCATCTGCACTTATTGATTGTTCTTCTCAGTATATGACAGAGTTAGTGGAAACGTTTGAAAGTTAGCTGGATTCAGTTGACTTGAGTATGAATTCTCAATTTCAGGAAGATACTTGTCAAACGTTAAACTAAAATTCATATTCGGGTCCACTCTATAATCAGTTAGGAAGCACACTGTCACGAAGTGATTCCTAAGACGCTTGGAGGATGGAAGACACGCATGCTGGTTGGCAAAGAGCAGAGTTTGACTGGGAATGGTTCCAGGGAAGGGGCGTGCAGGAGCACAGGATGGTACCTCTTCAGAGTTCAGGCAGGTCGACTCGGTTCAGTTCGAGGTGCTTGTCGCTGGTCGTGGACTTGACTATGAAGAAGGGAGTTGGCCATCCCTGCACAAACTGGTCGGGAGCTGGAGCCGTTCCCCTGACGAGGCCATGGCAGGCCGAAACCAGTCAGCATGTATCCTTGGGAGGGCAGGTCGTGGTGGCTGACCAGGGCGCTTGCGCGAGCTGAAGCAACGCCTTGGTGCCGCACGGGCCGTGCCACTGCGCCAAATCTCTAGGCCCGTGACAAATGGTATCAGAGCAGGACTTGGGGTAAAGCACGGTGGGGTGCCCCCTTGTCGGTCCGGGAGGGGTCAGAGAATGAAGACGGTGCATTGAAGTTGCGTCGATGAGGAGGAATCAATGCAGTTGGGGGGGAGAGCCTCCATCTCCCCAGGAAGAAGCGTCCGTTGAAGTTGCGCATTGAAGGGCCGGAGGGCCGCGCGCACCAAAGTTCGTGCTTAGTCCTTGGGTGATGCAAACCATGGTGAAGGGCGAGCATCAAGTCGGCAGAAGGCCATTGCTTGCTCGGGATGTCGCGGAGGCGGCATGACGGAGAAGAGTCACGTCCTTGAGGAGTGGACGTCCCCTTGGTCCGAGGCCTATCATTGGGCGAGTGCAGTGCAGGGAGCTGCACAAGGAAGCGATGGTGGGAAGGCGAGCATACCGCATGGAGGCAGACTTTGGAAGGGAGTGGACGCAGTAGTGAAGCGCCGCACTGCGACGAGGACGTCGCAGGATTTGGGTGGGGGAGAATGTCACGAAGTGATTCCTAAGACGCTTGGAGGATGGAAGACACGCATGCTGGTTGGCAAAGAGCAGAGTTTGACTGGGAATGGTTCCAGGGAAGGGGCGTGCAGGAGCACAGGATGGTACCTCTTCAGAGTTCAGGCAGGTCGACTCGGTTCAGTTCGAGGTGCTTGTCGCTGGTCGTGGACTTGACTATGAAGAAGGGAGTTGGCCATCCCTGCACAAACTGGTCGGGAGCTGGAGCCGTTCCCCTGACGAGGCCATGGCAGGCCGAAACCAGTCAGCATGTATCCTTGGGAGGGCAGGTCGTGGTGGCTGACCAGGGCGCTTGCGCGAGATGAAGCAACGCCTTGGTGCCGCACGGGCCGTGCCGCTGCGCCAAATCTCTAGGCCCGTGACAACACGGACGCTTTACCTAATAGTGTCAACATGCTCCGTTTTGGACACAAGTAACTAGAAGCGTCATAAATTTAAATATTTTATTTTTTGATTGGATATGAGTGTTGGACACTTGAACATAGTTTGGATACGAGATATGTTTCGAATACAGAATTGTCTCGAAATTTAAATATTTTATTTTTTAGTTGGACACGGCATGAACGCGATCATGACACATTTTGGAGACTTACATGACACGACGGATGATTTTGTAATAAAATTCGATGCAATTTAAAATATATTATAGCCTAATACTAAAAATAATATACAATTTAAAATAATTCTAGTAGATAAAATAAATAAAAATGATTACTTTTCTATAAGAGTAGTGATACTTTCACAGAATACTTGTAATGAATTGCCTAACTGAATAATTTTTAATTGACTATTTATAGACTTCACTTCCTTATTTGTTATATAATTAACCAATTAAAATAATAAATTTAGCAATTCACTGTAATTATTGTATACAAGAATTATTTTTCATCGCCCTTATAACTCTCGATTGAATAGTTTTAATTCGATTTTACCATATTCACATAATTCAGTGCAAGAATCATTTTGTTGGCACCTAGGTTGCCCTTAATGTTAGGTACCGTCCTTTTCTACCTTTTTTAGTTGGATAGTTTTAATTCTATTATACCACATTCACATGGATTCTTTTGCTTGACGGTGTCCATGAATGTGGGGAAGTTATACCAAAATGTCATTTAATTATAAAAGTCCGTTTAATTTCAAATATAGTAGTTTTTTCTAATTCTCTAAAAAATATTTTTATATCTACATTTTTATATATCATTTTCAAATAACTGAAAGAACCCAATATTTCAACATTGATAATCTCTTTATGTATATATATATGTTGCCTTATAAAGGAATGAAAGCTCATAATATACTACATATATATATATATATATATATTTTTTTAAAAATTCAAATAGGAACTTTCTTATCATCAAAAGTTGTACCCTCAACACCTTTCAAATTAATAGGTCAAAAATTCAACTCTGTATAGGGAAAGTAGATGTGTAAGTGTGGATATTTTTTGACACGATAAAATAAATAAATAAAGTGACTTTCTTACCTCTAAATTACCAAACTCTGAACTTTAAAACACAAATTACATGAGTCACGCGATTGTTAAAATAATTATAAAATTATGATTAAAGTTAAAAGTTTCAAGTTTCTGCTGAATATTGTGAGTGTTATTTGTGAAGATTGAATAAAAATATATTTTAATAAAATTACTATAGTTTGATCATTTTGATGGTAAAAAAATGTCTCATATTAATTGATTGTGTCCGTGGACCGAAGTTTGGAATTGACCGTAGCAAAAGCAATGGAAAAAAAGGTGCCATATGAGTTGATTGTCTCCCTGAATCCATGTTTGGAATTGACCGTTGCAAAAGCAATGGGAGAAAAATGTCCCATATTAATTGATTGTCTCTGTAGACCGATGTTTGGAATGTACTGTAGCAAAAGCAATGGAAAAAACAATGTTCCATATTAATTGATGGTCTCTGTAGACCGATGTTTGGAATTGACAGTAGCAAACGCAATGGAAAAAACAATGTCCCGATTGTCTCCGTGGACCGAAGTTTGGAATTGACCATAGCAAAAACAATGCGTCCTCTACAAGTCACTCTTTGTTGTGGGGTCTCTTTATGTTTCTGGGTCTTTTGCGTGATCGTAGACTGAATCAACCGTGTTGTTGTCAATATCCCCTCCTCAATCTACAACTCTGCTCAACCAATTACGTGTATCGCTTTCATCAACACATGGTCTGCATCGAGACCCACAGTCATATCATTTACTTTTATTATTTTCCTTGCGTGAGGGGAACGCAAAGAAAGAGATATTTTGTATAACTACTTGGGAGCTATTATGGACCTGCTTCACCTAATGCCTGTAAGTGGCCCGTTTTGTATTCCGCATTCCAGGCCCATTTTATTGCCACCTTTAGGGTCTCTTCTTGGGACTGATGAGGCCCATACTAAGTTAATTTTCATTGTTGGTCCGTTTGTTGTGTGTACTATGATGATATGACTTTGAATGGTTTGATGGCTTACCTTCCAAATGAACTTTCTGGTTATCTACATTTTGTAGTGGGTTCTTTTGTTCTCTCTCCTTGCCGATCGGCGGATTTATGTTGGGTTCCTCCCGGTTTATTCGAGTTAAAGCCTATCATGAATGCTTCTTCTTCAGTTCCCATGTATTTTGGTGATAATGGAAAAGTTTTTAAGGGTTCTACGGACTTTGTCTTGAACGGTGTTGTTGCCGGTATCTTGGTAGCGGTGCTATGTCTTTATGAGGTTGCCTTATGTTGTGTATTGATGGTGTTTCATTCTTGTCATTTTGATATCCGTATGGTACTCCAAGTTCTCCCATCGGCTTGGGTTAACTCTATTTATAGATAGAGGTACAAGGTGGTTAATGCTGTTGTCCAACTTTTCCAGAGTCATGTTCCTATAGATTGGTGGATTCAGTTTCTTCTGGAGGACTTTGTTCTCCCTGTTGCACATAATCTATCATTAGGCGATGTTGTTGTGCAAGTTGGAGATATTTTGGTGCTACGGACTGTCATGGTTTTGGATCTAAAAATGCTGTAGGGATGGGACACTAGCCTACCTTCTGAATGTTGTTAGTAACGTTATGCCATTTCATATAGTTTGTCATCTTAATCTAAAGGTTCCAAGCCTTCCCAAGGTAGAATTGATTAAGAAGGAAACACGCAAAGATCCATATATTTGTCTCTCGACTTTAAGTGTGCTCTTATGTAGTTGTTACTATAATAATGTTTACAAAATCTTTTTGTTTTGTCAGG